TTTATGATAGTTCAGACACCACATAGTATAATAACGTCAAGTTACTTAGATGTTCAGTGATTTTGTAGAGGAAATTCAGCTTTCCAGGATAAAAGGGAATAATTGACGTCCACGAAAGCCAGCAATGTGAGTTTTTATGATTGCTCTGTTGTACTGTATAAGTTAGTTTAACATTCTTAATGCAGTTTAAAATTGTTTGTAACACTCTGTTTTATTTAAGAAGACTTATTTATGTTTGTTTGTTTGTTTTTGTTTTTTTGTTTTTTTTTGTTTTTTTGTTTTTTTGTTTTTTTTTGTTTTCGTTTTAGTCAGAACCATTGCACTACAAGTACATGCGTTTCTGATGCTGGTTACTGAAATAAACATACAGAATATTAATCAAGACTTTATTGTTTTCACTTAAGATCCGTGGGATTTTACACACGCACATACTCACACATACACATCTCCACACACATACTCACACACACCGCATTCACACACATGTACACACGCCGACCCATACACGCACCGACTCACACACACACACATCGCCATCCAAACAGCCGACATGACTCTCTGTATCACACACATATCGTAAATAATACAGTCTGGTGTTCCTCAAAAAACGCCATCACAGATAAAACAATCAAATCTTACAGTGGTTCTGCTCTTATTTCCATGTATAAATCATGCAGTATAAACCCATTTACTGTGATATAAAGCCCAAGAGGAAGAGACATATCCCAGCGTAGACTATGTAACCAGCCCTTGGATCTAGTTCAAACATTGCACCACCACGATTTCACATTCTGTGGAAAAGTTCAAAATTTAAAGTTTTCACAGCAATGATATTGTAAATTCTTGTTATCCATGCACATATTTCATTATAAACTTCTTATCAATTCTGGTTCTCTCCATCAATCTCTAAAATAAACATTTAAAAAAGTAATTACCTACATAAATTATTTCTCTTCAAATCCATATTTCAGCACATAGTATGTGACCATCCTGAGCCCCAGGGACAGATCAACACTTCACTGCCTCAAATACACCTCACTTATAATTACTAATATAATCCATATTTCAGCACAGAGTATTTGGCCATCCTGATCCCCAGGGACAAATAAACACTTCACTGCCTCAAACACACCTCACTTATTACTACCAATAACTACATGATTATTATTATTATTACATCAGCTTAAAGGGAGACAGTAAAACTGAACAGGCTTTTTTTCTCAAGGTGATCTGACAACTTATTTTGGTTCCTGTGCGATCTTATGTATCTAAAAACTGTGGAAAACTGGCTCATAAAGCACCGTTACACTTGAACTAATGCAGACTTTTATCAACAAACACAGTGCAATCGCATTTAAGAAAAATATAGACTGAAAACTTGCAACAGTTAGTTACAATGAATATCGATTTATGCATGCAGCAGTAAGCGTCCGCTTTTCAACACCTTAAACAATCATACACAACAACAAATTACATAGTTATAGTCATAATTATATAATTAATGGAAATAAAGATAATGGCAAAAACAATTTTAAAGGCAAACTAAAAACGTTTGTACACGGCAGATTCCTCGGTCCACTAGGCATGCTTCAATAACAAAAAGTCAGAAATTGAACTTTGGCCTTGAACATGACCTAGCCTTGACCTAAATATACACATCATCCCAGTAATCAAAAGCCATGCTTTACATAAACTCCAGATTTTACATAAAGACCAAAGTCTACCATTTTTGTGACACGATTATCGAAGCCCCCACACTACGCCTTCTTGGTCATGATCTTCAGATACTGCAATGCATTGTGGGCTGCGTTGGCATGGCATTCATCAGAGGTGGGTCCGCTGCCGTGACATACAGCAACTGGCATGGTGGACAGCTGCACCAAACACTGACGATGGCCTGGAAAGAGGCAAAATTACCTTGACAGAGAGAAGATACTGAGAGAGAGAATTATTCGACCAGAATCTACGAATAAACACAGACAAATGGGAGAGGAAATGGAATTGCCTCCAGATCACATTCTAAAGGAATTTACTTTAAATATTATTCTGCCCGTATCATCAATATGAAGTTCCATGCCAAGAGGAGTCAGCGACCACAAGGCGCCATTTCTTCTCTGCCTGTAGTAATTTTAGGGTTTCTTCGGCCGTCTTTGTTCCGACCCAGACTGTTACGCCATCTATTGTTTTATCTTTTTATCTTCCTCTGTTTCTTTTGACCAAAATGTTTAATGTAGTTATAATGGCTTCCAGGCCGCTTTTTCTTATGCAGTGTCCGATAAAAGTACGTTGTCTCTTTCTTACTGTATTTCTGTGATTTCTGCAAGATGGTATTTTAAGTGTTCGTCTGCAGCACAACATTTCAACTGCATTAATTTTATTTTTTCGTGGAAGTGCTTATGGTCCATGCCACGCATCCTTAAGCCATTATAGGCCATATGCAAGTATAGGTTAATTTTTAGTACTCTTTCTTCTTCCTATTGACAATTTTGCGGTTGTTAAGTACTGATCGCATATCTTTTATACTGTTTTTTGCTTGTCAAATTCTGGTCTTTATATCATATGGAGAAGTGTATTAAACAAGCAACGCATTAAAAGTGATTTGGCTGCTAAATGCGACCTACATTTATTACTGAGATCCCGCAAGCCATCATAGGTGACCTCAATCAAAGCACTGTTCCACAGTTTAAGAAAGTGACCTACCTTTATAACTGAGCTCCTGCAGGTCAACATAGGTGACCTACCTTTATAACTGAGCTCCTGCAGGTCAACATAGGTGACCTACCTTTATAACTGAGCTCCTGCAGGTCAACATAGGTGACCTCAAAGCACTGTTCCTCTGCTATCTCCTGGAGGAGTTGACAGAAGTTACTGGCTGGTGTGTTCAGAGAGGTGGTGTGCAGCCTGTTCAGCTTCTTTCCTGGACAGAAAATACAATTTCTCAAGTGCAAAGTTTATTAAAAGCCTTGCATGACTATTTAATCATAACATAGACCAATTTCTAATCACAATCGCAACTTGTGGCCTAAATATACTATACTGGCCAAACAAAGAAAGCAATGTTTTCTTTTTACCACTGTGCTTCAAATAAACCAAAAATGCATGGATAGCGGTGTGTCAGACAGCAGGTCAACATGTGACCTCAGAGCAGTAGACCAGACCAGCAGGTCAACATGTGACCTCAGAGCAGTAGACCAGACCAGCAGGTCAACACGTGACCTCAGAGCAGTAGACCAGACCAGCAGGTCAACATGTGCCTCAGAGCAGTGCGCCAGACCAGCAGATCAACATGTGACCTCACAGCAGTGGACCTAATCAGCAGGTCAACATGTGACCTCAGAGCAGTGGACCAGACCAGCAGGTCAACATGTGACCTCAGAGTAGTGGACCAAACCAGGAGTATTTACCTGAGGCATTTTTGAGCTGAGTGTAGAATGAACTGATCTTTCTGCTGACAAAGGGAGTCAGGGTGGGTATTTTCTTCCCTTTCTTCAAGTCAGCATAGGCAGACTTACTGGAGTCCATCTGAAACAAAGGAGTGAAGTTTTATCAAAAGACGGATGCTGCAGACTTACAGGAATTCATCTGAAACACTGAAGCAAAGTATTATTAATAGACAAAATACCTCCTTCCAAACTGAAACAGATCTATCGACGTCAGTTTAGGGTAGAGTAGGAATGAATGGAGGAATAGTAACTCATTAATTCAGGTCAGGTGGACAAAGTAACTTGCCTGCCGATACAAAATGAAACCATGTCTTACCAGAGCATCACCATCCTCTTCCTCCCAGGGACAATCTAGATCTTCTTGCGACAGAGACGTCACGTCCACGGCCTGCATCATTTTCATGGCAGCATTGCACTTGGCTTTCTTCTTAGATTTCCCAGTGCCTGCATGGCAAACACTGAGCAGTTTAGAATTTTAATTCAGTGAATTCTTCGGTTGTCACGCCTTGTTCACACTTCAGACTAAAGTTGTATTAATGGATTTAACAGACAATCAGGCAACATACAGTAGTTCAAAGCCAAAGTAACTTTGTACTCCCTGATTTTAATGGCTCTGTATTTCTGTATCATAAAACATAGAAGCCACGTTGTGCTATTTACTATTTAACCTATTACACAGAGGAATTAGTTCAATAACCTATCTGTCACACCTATTTCACAATATACAAAATATAATGTGCAACCTTTTAGATATGCATAAAATTCAAGTCACAAAATTCAAACATTATCTTCCAACTACCTTCCATTGCGACATAATGGATAACACAATCATTATGCCCATACACCACTCGGATGAGAATCAATGGCATTTCTGAGGAAGACTTCATTAAAATTGTGAACACATCGGGCATTTTAAACTTTGAATGATAAACTTATTAATTCACCTCTTTTTGTAATCCTCCCCAGTTTCACATTGCACACAAACTCTCTATCGTGGGGAGGTCCCCTCACACTGGTTATCTCGTACTGCGGGGGACTCAGTAGACGTTTCTGCGCTAACTCCTGCAGTTCTCCAACAGGGTTGTCTCCAGCGCCATCTACAGTAGTGGTGGGAGCAGCCACTTCTCTGTAGCTACTCTGTCCTATCATCCGGTTCAACACTGTCCTGGAACCATTGTGTTTTGCTCTCTCCTCGCTGGAGTCTTAAAGATGCACACAAAGTCAAATTTTTGTCACAAAAACCAACCAAATGCCAGCATATAGTTTCAAGTAGTATAACTAAGAGAATTACCA